ACAATAGACTGCTGGCAATGGTCAAGAGACAGCCAGAACTGACCTACTCTGGTGATGGGATGGCCAAACACCCTAATAGTCGTGCCAGAAACCCCATCTAACGACTGACGGATCTGGATGCAGAGATCCACGGGTAGGCCCCCGGTGGAGCTCTGGGAGTCTAATTAGTGAGAAAGAGGAGGGTTTATATGAATGAGAATTGTTGAAACCAACGTTGGATAAAGCACAGGGACAAGTAGCCAAATGAAAGGAAACGCATGAACTATGAACCAAAGGCTGAGGGACACCCAACTGGATCAGACCATCTGAATAGGTGAGACAGTTGATTGGCTTGATCTGTTTGGGAGGCATCTAAGCAGTGGTACCAGGTCCTGGGCTCATTGCATGAGTTGGCTGTTTGAAACCTGGGGCTTATGCAGGGACGCTTGGCTCAGTCTGGGAGGAGGGGACTGGACCTGCCTGGACTGAATCTACCAGGTTGATCTCAGTCCTCAGGGGAGGCTTTGCCCTGGAGGAGGTGGGAATGGGGGGGTGGACTGGGGGAATGGGGGGTGGACTGGGGGGAGGTGGGCAGGAGAGTGGAGAACAAGGGAATCCATGGCTGATATGTAGAACTGAACGGTACTGTAAAATAAAATAAAGAGAAAAAAAAAGATAATTGAGTAAAAATGTAAATAAAAGTAAAAAAAAAGAAAACTGTACTTCAGGAAAATTGTATCTGTAAAACTATGCAATTGTACCTAGTGATATTGTATAAGTTTATATCAATATGCATATTGATAGACAAAAATGAATTTTATGGTAATACTTTATTTGTCCCGAAATGTGATTTTATTTGTATGTTAATAAATAAAGTTACCTGGGGGTCAGAGCTAATAGCAAGCCATTTAGCAGAAGTCTGGCAGTGGTAGCACATGCCCTTAATCTGATCACATGGCAGGCAGAGTCTGTGTGTTCAAGGACATAGCCAGCTTGGTGATACACGCCTTCAATCCAAGTACCAACCATAGAGACCTGGAGGTCTGTATAGACAGGCAGTGACAGAAAAGTCCTGTGGTTGGGTTTAGAACCAATGAGAAGGCAGAACAGAAAGTCAATAAAAAATACAAACACACAGGAAGTAGGTCTCTTTTCTCAGGGGAAGGACGGCAGCAGCTGGTAAGCTAAAGGTTATTTGCTAGTGCTCTGACCTCTTGGGCTTTTAACTCTTTATGTGGCTTTGTGTTTCTTATTTAATAAGACTGTTTAGAAATACATCTACAGAATTTAAAGTAAAAATTTGAAAGTAAATGGTTAATTTGAAAATTATGACTTGGTGGGTGGAACTGGGGTTAATAGTATCTTTTTTTATTATTAGCATAATAATATTGCCTCTGAAAAAGTGTTAAGACATGTACTGATATTTTCAGTGTGTCTGTGCATTAGAAGGTAAGAAGTAGTTAATCTATATTACAAGGCTTTTAATTTTTCTTAATTTGAAGGAACAACAGTTTTAATAGTAAAAAACAAAGAATTCAAACAATGAACTTGCATAAGGATGATGGTTATATAATGTAGTTTATCTACAGAAAAAATTACTCTTCATTAATATTACCGGTTAAAGGAATACCAATGACTAAAAACATTCCTGCATATAACTGAACAGTTAGTAACAACAGGACAAAAATGATTCTAACCACTGAACTTTGTATTCAACAGTAACTTCCTTATACCACTCCTTATGGTCTCATTTCTCAGACTGTAGATAACAGGGTTGAGTGTTGGAGACAGTACTGTGTAAAAGATAGAGAACAAGAAATCTAAAGCAGTTGGAGACTCGGAAGTTGAGTTTAGATATGCATAGGAGCCTGTGGAAAGAAACAATGAGACAACAAAAAGGTGGGGCAGGCAGGTAGAGAAGACCTTAGACCGGCCTTCAGCAGAGGGCATCCTGAGAACTGTGGAGAATATGTGGACATAGGAGAGGACAATCCCAATGAAGCAGGCAAAGGCCATTGCAGACAGGAAACCAGCCACTCCCATCACTCCAAGGTAATCATTAGAGCAGGAGAGCTTGAGCAACTGGGGGACATCACAGAAGAACTGGTGGATTATTTTGGGCCCGCAGAACCTGATAGAGGATATGGTTGCTATATACAAGGTTCCTGGGATACCACTGCTTAGCCATACAACTGTCACAGCCAACCTACACTTTCTGGGACACATGATGACCTCATAGTGCAGTGGAAAGCAAATGGCCACATAACGATCATACGACATCACTGTGAGAATGGCCAATTCACCCCAGGCAAAATCTGTGAAGAAAAAAACCTGCAGCATGCACTGGCTATATGAAATGTATCCACTGCCTGCCAGGGAATTCTCAATATACTGGGGAACTGTGACAGAAAGGGATGAGAGGTCCAGAAGGGAAAGGTGCTTCAGGAAGTAATACATTGGAGACTGGAGCTGCCGGTCCAGTGTGGTGATGGTGATAATGATGAAGTTACCTGCTGATCCCAATAGATATGTCACCAAGAAGAGCAAAGCATGCAAGATCTGTACCTCATGGTTGTCAGAGAACCCCATTAGGAGGAATCCACTCATTGTGGTTATATTTCTCACAAGCATCTTAGGACCAGAAATTGTGGTAGAAGCTGAAGAATAAAATGATATAGTAAATGCAGTATACAGATACTGAGACATTATTTATTTGTTCATTAGTATTTTCTTCAATAATATCTCTCTCTCTCCCTTTCCCCATATATATATATGTATGTATGTATATATATATATATATTCTATTTGTTGCAAAACTTAAGTGAGAACACATTTTTTCTCATGTCCATAGAGTTCACACTATCTACTCATAAACCAATAGTTACAGGTAAATATACATGTGGTCCATCACTGGTTCTCTCAAGGAACATAATTGTATTTGCCCTATGAAAAAGCACTATTCCATTGCCACAACAGAAACCCATTGCTTTTATCTGAGTCATCAATAGACAGTGATGGGCTGTGGATGAGAGGTTTTTGAACATGGGACTGGTTATGTATAGACAGGACAGCGTACTATTTTAGCAGATGGAATAGGCATTTCAAGGGAATGTGCCAGGAATTAAAATATAGTTTGGTTGTTCACTGCTATTTTCTTTAGCAAACAGTACTGTCATTACAGAGAGCCTGTTATTGTAGAACCAAGTGTAAAAATGAATATATGTATTGCTCTTAAATAACCATGCAGTGGTTATTGAAATCAAAAGCAGCAAAAATACTTGTGCAGGGGGAATACTCACATACCACTCTCAATTTAGATATCTTATTTCATTTATGGACTGTTTTAGGGGACAAGCAGCTTCTATTTGAACTGCTGTCTATACTAATAGCCTTCAGATGTAGCCATCAAATAGCACTTACCACAAAGCAAGGACAATTGCAGACACACAGTGAGTTCTTGGGGTGCTTTAAGATGTGAAGGAAAATGGCCAACATCCAGTGCCTAATTTCAATAAGAGACTGGAAAATTAAAGTCATTTATGTTTCAGACAGAAGAGAAGTTATGTTTTAGTCCATGATATTTTGCTTTGATAATTGAAAGATTGAAAATGACATATCATTCTCCCCTTGCAAGATGTATGTTGGTGTTTGAAGGTTGATAAGAATATGAAAAAGTGTCAGCTTTCTGCATGTTTTTCTCATTAATGAGTTCTAGGCAACAAGAGCAAACACACTCTGCCAGTCTTTTGAGGTTTTAAGTCCTGTGAAGTATCACCATATATTTTCTTGTGTTTACTTAAAGTTCGTATGCTTAGAAATGCAACCACAGAATAAAATTCGAGGTCACCTTTTTCAATCTTGAGGCAATTCCCATTTAGTGACATCTCCCTTGTGACAGAACAAACTCACTCCACCTCCCTCATATCTCTTTTGCAAAGAATAAACTTGATACCAAATCATTCCAACCCTACATCAAATTACTTGACAGGATGTTTAATTATGAAAATGGTTTTAGAGCCAAGCATGACATGAGAAAAAGAATCTCAGGACCTGTGGCAGTAGTGTACTGAATTCAAACTGGTGTGGGCTCCATAGAAAAATCCTCCATCTAAAGGAAAATAAAACACCATTAAATAAACTAGATAACTTGTTTCATATGATACAATTCTTGTGTCTGAAAGTCTGTTTCCTGCTCTGTGTACCTCAGTCATAATGTTAATCCTTTTAGAATATTCTCGTACTGTGTGATTTCTTCAAAACCTCATGTCCTACAATAGAAATCAGTGCAAGCTAGAGATCTCACTTATATTTCTCACAGTTTTCTTCTTTCCAAATTCTGCTTCTTTGATATTATTTTTCTTTGAGGTTGGTAAATGATAAGTATGTTTATAATTATTGTTCACAATAAGTTTTTATATTCATTCATTTAATCTTAATATTTTAATCTGATAAACCATACAGTACACTGAGAGATAAAAAGGCTGAGTAATACTGATCATTCATATATATAAGACAGGAGGCATGTTTATATCCTTCCTAAAACAGGTTTCATTTGATCTACACAGTTTCATCAGCTTGGAGTTAAGAATTTTAACAGGAAAAATTTAAGAGTTAGTAGCTTAAATAACAGAATTGGCATCTGAGCTATAAAAATTTACACATATCAAAAAAGACACAGGGACAGGGTCACAATCTTATTGACAATGTTCATCTCAGGCTGACATCTGAGAGCTTTGAAGAAGTGCTTTAATAGTTTACAAAAGTGTCACAAATGCAAGAATGTAACATGCTAACTTTTCTCATTCACTGGTTTTCTCACATGGCCCCTTATTATATCTATATGAACTTAAAAAATCTGTTTATTTTCAGTAAGGTGTCCTTACTTCCTTGTTATAATCTCAACCGTGCTTTTCCAAACTAAGTAAGATTATAAGGTTGTGTTAGAATTCCCATAAAATATTTATCTTTCCTCATTCAAGTTTGTAAAACTCACTCCAGAATGTCCTCTTGTGTGTGCAGCTCCCCAAGCTGTTCTGCGCCTTCTGATATTTCTTGTCCACAACTGCAGATTGTTATGTCCTTGGAGAGCAATTGTGTTGAACTGCTTTTTTGTGGGGAGGGGTGTGTATGCGCACTATCTTTTGAAATGGAAGTTTGGCCTTACACAAAGTCATTTCATTTACTTTGTCCTTGTTCCACCTGGGACATGGAGTCACTCAAATTTCCACACAGCTGTTGAGGGATTTTGTGAGCTTGGGGTTTAGTGTTCTGGCTCAGTGGATTTAGACCTTAGACCTTTAGTCCCCTAGAGAGCTAGTTACAGCTGAGAACCCTGGGCACCACACTGAGTGTTTCTGATTTGGCCATTGCTGGCAATAGCTCCCTGACCTGCTAGTCTGAACACAACAGGTGTTCTGTGTAGCTAACATGTGCATTTCTGAGAGGACAAAAGAAAATGTAAATATTCATAAAAATACTTGAATCTCTACAAAGTCTCTTGAAAGTTTAGAAATCAGATTAATCTTTACCTTTCTCCTTGAAATATAAGCAATACAAAGAATTTCATGTTCTTTTTCTTTTAATATTTTTATTAATTCTTTGGGTAGTTTACATCATATACTCCAATCCCACTCATTTCCCAATCCTTCCTTGTCTGCCCTCTACCCTTTAACCTCCCTCACAAATAAAAATAAAAGTAAAAAAAGCATCTCATCAACCCCTTTGGGCAATGACCTGCTCCTCTGTTAACCACAGCCTTCTCCCATATCAGTCTAGTCTCCAGTTCTGCCGTGTATGTGCCAGCCCGCTCCTCCTTCTTTCACATCTCCCTATCACATATTCATTCATTGTAGTGGCACTGGGAACTGTGGTGTGTCACCCACTATACCCTTTTGTCTAAACAGCTTTGCTTGCAAATATTCATTATAATGAGTTGTTGATCTGTTTCAAGGCCCCTGGCTTCTGTTGCAGCATCAACACTGGACCCTCACTGAGACTCCTCTCTGTTGTCCTGCTGTTGCCCTGAGTCATGGAGATCCTGTGGCTATGGTTCTGCCAGTTCTCTGTTGCCCATGCCAGCTCCCATGTCTATGCCATCAGGGTTAGGTCTCCCACACCACCATGGCCAGCTCTCCCATGCTCATACCACCTCTGGCACTGCTTTGTGGTGCCTGGTGAGGTGTGAGACCAACTCCCCTGTACCCATACCATTGCAGTGTCTGAGTGGACTCCACTAAGATGAGAAAGTATGTGTTGGAGATATGGGAGAGAAAGAGAATCTGAGTGGTTCATGTGCTGTGGATAGAGGTGGAACTGGAGAGGGTTCAGCTGTGAGGAATAGGCTGATGTGGGTGACCTGTGCTGCCACCAAAGGCCATGTCTGGGTCCATGGCCTTGCCATAGCTGGGTACTGCATTTATATCCATGGTCTTGTTACCACCAAAAGCCATGCAGATGCCTGTGGTCTAGGTTCATGCCTGAGGCCATATTGATATCAGAAGGACTTGCTGAGCTGGCCCCATCCCACTTGCTGGATATCACACTCAGGAATTTCATGTTCTCAACACCTATTTTAGCCATCAGTTATGACTACTCAGGATAGCAAAATGTCTAGGAAATCCTAAGATATATTTAATAGCAATGCTTAAAATTCTCCAAGGTAACATTTATTATTAATGTTTTACAAAAACTTTTAATTGAAAATAAAGTAAGCTTACAATACTGTTTAGGAAATTTTTAGTTCTCATCACTTTAACAATAGACACTGTTACTATTTGCAGCAACAACGTATGACTATGTTTCCACATGTTAGAACAGAATTACTCCAAAGATTTCATCTGAACTGTATGATTACATACTCATCACACATTTTTAAACCTTTACTTCTTTTTAAAAAATTTAAACTATAGTTACATTAGTTCCCTTCTTTTTGTTCCTCCAACCTCTCTGCACCTCATACCACTTTGCTTCCTCTGGAAACCATGACCTCTTTTTCCCTAGTTGTCATTGTTCACACACATAGACAACTAAATATATAAATACAACTTTCTCAGTCTGTTTGGTATTACTTGTATGTATATGATTTCGAGGCTGACCTCTTGGCTTTGGATAACCACTTTCAGAACTCCTTTGTTGCCTGTAGTTCTTTGTCTATGAATGGGTCTCTTTAAGATTGCCCTCCTGCACTTTAATATGCCGATTAGTATTGTAGCTCTTTAAGTCTTGTTTAGACAGCCCTATTATTGTATATCATGGGTAAAGAGTCTCTGTCATTTCCAGAAGACACAATCTCACAGCAGCTTTCCTGGTATTCTCTGTAGTTTGCCAGTTGTGTTTTTCTGTAATGGTTTCCTTTGTTACAAAGAGAAGTTTCTTTGATGAGAGTTGAGAGCTACACTTGTCTGTGGGTATAGTAATAGTTATTTGGAATGCAGTTAGGAATTATGCTAATTTAATAAAGTGGTGGTGGCAGATTCTTCCCCAAAATATGACTTCACAACCCCGGGGTCTTTGCTGGGTTTTCAGTATCAGGCATGATTTTCCTCCTGTTGACTGGGTCTTCTCAAGTTCAATTAGAGAGCTATTGATTACCACCAAGATATGAGTGCTACTGTTGTAACTTAGGATTAGTGTGCCACGTTAGTTGTCCTTGTTG